GTGAGATTTTTTTCATTAAGAGAAAAAATTTATCAGAGATGGAAAATATAAAAAGAGAGAAAAAATATTGTTATTAATTTATGAATTTAACTAATTAGTTAAAGTTATTTTTAAAATTATTTTTCAGAGTATTTAAATATGATTTAATTATTTTAATTTTATTAAAATAAAATAAAACTGAATATTTTTAAAAAATTAAAAATTAAATTACAAAAACAATATTTTTTAATTTATAATAGAATTATAAACTAAAATAATTTTATAAACTTAATAATTAAATTAATTATAACGAAAAATATTTTTAAAATATAATTGTAACCATTAAGAATTTTTATCATTTGAAAAAAAAAACATTTTGGTTAAAGCACACAGGGATGTTCAGTAATTATATATTGGAGATATATAATTAATTGAGTTATATATATACACTCATACATATATATATAGATATATATATATATATCTTAAGAGCATATATGGTTCTCTTACAAATGAGAATCCGAGTATTTTTATCTTTTCATTGTTAATTATTTAATCTTTTCTTTTTATATTTATATTTTTGTCTATAAAAATTATGAGCATGCATATATATATATATATATATGTGTGTGTATATTTGTGCATTTATATCATGATATAAGATTATTTTTCTATAAAAATGGTATCCTAAGATATTATTTTTATGGTAAGTTTAAAATTATCTTTAAATGGAGGATATTTAAAATCATAAAAATTTGAAATATCTTTTAAATATTTCTGAAATATTTAAATATATAAAATAACATTAAAATTGAATTTAATAAATATATTATTTCAAATCTAACCACAAATAAAAATATTTTTAAAATCAAAATTTAAATTAGTTTTGAATTTTACTTCTAAGTCTAAAGTGCCCTAAATTGGTTGCTACAAATGTCAAGTTGAACGAGTATAAGGTTTCTTCTTCTTCTTCTTGTCATCTGTCACGCCCAAACTTGTTAATGAAGAAATCATGTACGCAACTTATAAGTAAATCCGAGTCTCATGATCTAATCAAATATCTTCACAAAAAGAGACAAGAGATGATGAAACGAACTATAATACCTACAAGTAAAGATGATAAATATGATTACGGGTTGCTGATTGAAAAGATTGAGTTAGATAAAAAACTATTGGTTTGACAATAACATGTACGTTCAACGAGGGTTGAAATGGTTATTGGATTCAAAGACGAAAAGAAGAATATGTCGAGGAAAGAGCAATTGTTTCATACTTCATGAGACTCTTATTGATATGTGGTGCTTTCTACATGGTTATTGACCTTTTTTTTCGTTTAGTTAATAATAATGTTAGAAGATTGAATCAAATTACAACTTATTTTATATGTAAATATGTTCGTATTCGATAAAAAAAAAAGATAATAAAATTATTTAGTTTAACGGAATGTTGATAATTCGATATAAATTTAATTATAATATTATAAATAAAAAGAGTGATAATTTTCACACTTCCTCGTTCATAGGCCATCGAAAATAAAGATAATAAAATAATTTTCTCGTTAATAATAAATAATATTAAATATATAAGAATAAGTAAAAATAAAAAAGAATTTCTTAGAATAATTTTATTTTTATTCTTTTCTCGATTTTTATAATGTTAAGATCCCTTCTATACTATACAAACATACATGTGTATATATACATACATTACACATTCATATGCCGGATATCATACATAAAATACATACATATATATACATACATTACATACATATACATGTGTATATATGTAATAATTAATAAATACATGAAGGAGGTTGGTATTAGAGGTGATAATTGTGTTTAAATATAAGTTTGCCATAATTTAATTAATTATTTATTTATTTATTTACTCTGATTAATCCTGGCAGCTGCAGCTACTGCGGCGGATACTCCTGCTGGGTGTGTAGTCAAGTTGGGATCGTTCCTCATCTCCGCCCCTGTCACCCCCTCTGCATCTTTTCTCGTTGCTGGCCTATCCGCTGGTAATTTCGCAGTTGCTCCCTGCCACAAAACAATATATATACATATTAATTATTGAGTAAGTTAATATACATATAATATATATATTGGTGGAGTTTTTCTAAATAAAATAAATAAATTTTCATTAGTTCCATAAAATTAGCAAGGAATTAAAGTTACCGTGAGAACATCAGCCAGTTTCTTCTTGTCTTCATCTCTAGTTAATCTTGCATTGAGTGTAGCAGCCGACTGGGCGTTGGCTGCGACACCTCCGGGCATGATGGCAGTGCGACCGGTGGCCCTGACCTCTGCGGCCTGTATGGCGGCTGCATCGCTCCACTCGACCGGCTTCTGTCCAGCTGTTAAAACAGTAGCCTCAAGGGCTTCACCAATGGTGATGAATCCCTCAGATCCACTCGATTCAATTGTGGGATTCGAAGATCCTCTTCTTCCATATAATGCAGCAATTCCTTTAAATAATGGTAAATTAAATACCAATTAAATAGAATAAATAAATGATTACGAATGAAAAAATTAACAGACGATTTTCACTGCTTATATATAAATCTTGTATTATTGTGTACTAGCATCTCGTTTGAAATGAATACAAATTTTATATTTTTTCTTCTCAATATGTCAGTTAAAAATTTGCATAAAAAAATACTTATTGTCTTCAGCTTATTTCCAACATGAAGTAAACTATGGAACCAACCTGATGATCTCCATCGATTGCCTCAGTACTGACTGTTCGCCGTCCCAGAAGAAAATCATTATGAGCTGATGCAATTGATTGTATCTTCGAGGCAGCACCTTTAGGAGAGTACCTGAAAATGCCGGCAGCGGCCTCCGCCGCCTGCATCAACGCTCCAGCGTCAGCCGAAGTCGAGTTTGCCGCTTGCTTTTGCTCCGGTATCTTGCATTCGATGGAGAACAAGTCGCCGTGGGCTAATTTAGCGGGCTGATCTTCTGGCTTTTCCGGCTGTTTCTGGCTCATGATTCTCTTCCGATTAATTTCTTGCTTTAATTAAAATAATTTTGTTTTGGATTTTGAGGGAATTTAGTTTTATACGTGAATGCATGGGCCATGCAAGAACTAGGCACGTCCGCTGGTTTCATTCTCCGGAGAGACGCTGGGGATAAGCGACTTTGTGGCTCCCACCTGCCCGCTGACTTGGTCTTCTATGGTTAATATGTATTTCTAATTAGTTTCTTTGTAATTAATTAGCTTTTTCTTTTATTTTTTTAAAAATAAAATAAATGAATTGTAAAAGAAAAAACTATTATAAAAATACAAAGATATATATAAATTAGTAAATAAAAATTTAAAATTTGATCCAAAATTATTAATTAATTGAATAATAATTTTTAAATAATAAAATACAACTTGAGTAAAAAAAAATCTAAAAAAATACTGAATAAATGACTATATATATATATATGTATGTATGTATGTATACATACATGCTACAAAGTTGAACTACAAAGTGAACATGCTTTTAGTATCATAAATTCATAGTTCTTGAGCTTATGATCACATACACCTCACCTCATACACCATTTCTAGGTGCGGTTTACTTATATTTACTAATTTTAACATGATCAACCTCATGTTACACCAACTCTTCATCTTCTTGTTAACCAAATAACCCTCCCCCAACTTTGATCTTCTAAATATCTCTCCATTTCTCAATCAAAATAATTGAATCTTCAATTATTAACATGATCATCGTCATCAAGTTCCTCAAAATCTTCTCATTTTTGTTTCTTATTTTGGATTTTCTATTCCTCGTCAACTCCCAAGATCGTGTTGATGACCAATGGCAACTTTTGCACGAAAGTATTGGTATATCTGCAATGCATATGCAACTTTTCTATGATAATAAAGTTATCATATTTGATCGAACCGATTTTGGCCTATCTAATCTCTCTCTCCCAATTGGTCAATGTCGATTTAACCCCACTGATATTGCTCTCCAATTCGATTGTACCGCTCACTCTATCCTCTATGATGTATTTACCAACACTTATCGTGCTCTGCAAGTTCAGACTGACACTTGGTGCTCGTCCGGTTCTGTCCTTTCGGATGGTACTCTCATCCAAATAGGTGGTTACAATGATGGTAGTCGTACAATTCGAACATTTGCTCCATGTAAAAATGATTCTTGTAATTGGATTGAATTC